AATTTAAAACACTACACTTTAATAAATCAAAAAGTTATTTTAATAGTTGGTAATTGAATATAATTGTGTTTTATTTGGGTATTAAAATACTTTGGCGCTATGCATAGAGTGCTATCTTTTTTTAATTTTAATGATTTTTAATTAAGTCAGGAAAAATAATGTTATTTTTCAGATTTTTCTATTAAATAGAAACTGAATATATATTATATACATAAAGCTCTTTAAATCTATCCTACTCTTGGTTTAGTCTTAAATTTTCAACTATATGTATCAGTAAATAATGCACATGTAAATTTTATTATTATATTGTGGTTTAATGATTTGTCCCACATTCTATGTAATTATTCCATAAAAATTATTACATTCGTTCTAAACATACTTGTAAATGTAATGTAAATACTGATTTTATTTCTAATTTCTTATTTTCTGTTTTAATTTAAGGTTCTAAAATTCATTATTGTTATTAGTTAATTAATTTAATTTAACCTTTGATTTTTTTGTAATTCTGAAAGAGTAAACTTTAATTATTTTATTATTTTTAAATAATTTAGTTATTTGTAATTTATAGTAATAAAAATTTATTATGATTACTGTATTTATATCGATAAATATAGATATTTTATACCTTTTTTTTTATGATATTTGTATACATTTCAATACTTAGGTAATTATTAAAAGTTAACACATTTTAAGTATCATAATACCCCATAAAAAATATTTGGAGTCATCAGAAACAAATATTTAAAAAAATCTTGTATAAAATCAATTTGATATCTGTTCAATACATGCATAATGAATAAATATAGATTTTATTTTTCAAATTTGTCTTTTTTAAAAGCATTTAAAAGTTTGTGAACGTGATATAAAAGTTAAAAGTTAGATATATCATTATTTTTCACACTTATATTGTTTTATTATGTATTATTTAAAAACATGAATAAGTTTTGGATTTATAATTTTTATATTTTTAAAATTAAATTTTTTCTTTTAGGATTTATCAACAAATGTTTCTCCTCGTATTGTAAAAGGAACGACATCAGGTCATCTGTTTGGACCGGGTCAAGGATCATTTCTTAATATTGAACTTATTAGCGAAAAAACAGCTGAATATTGGTGTCAAAGTATATCAGAACTAAAAAGAGATTTTCCTTCAAAAGTACTTTTGCATAAAAATAATAATTTAATATTAAATTGCAACATATAAATTTTATATATAATTTTCCAGATACTTATAGCAAGTATTATGTGCTCATACAATAAAGATGATTGGACAGAGCTAGCAAAAATGGCAGAGGTAAAATGTTAAATTTTTATAATCCATTAATTAAATGAAATTAATATTAATAAAGTTTATAAAAGTACAAAAAATATGAAACCTAGTATTATTCAATTAGTACATGAAAATTAATTACAATATAACTGTGGTTCTCTATCATCAACAAACTTCAGTTACAGTTACACAGTTCATAGCAGATGAAGCACAGAACAGAAAAAGGTATAGGCACGTGTTCGAACTGCCTTTTGTAATTTTCTTAGTTCCACCTGGTAGCAACAGGGAGTTCACATATCAGATGCCACATCACTTATTGTAATCCTATTTCTTTGACAATCCTTGGTAATCCTTTATTAAGAAAAAGAATAATTTAAAAAATCTCTATATACTTGATATGTTTTGATTATGAATTCAAAATATCATATTATAAAGAACATTAATATTAAATTATGAAACATATTTAATATTAATGTTCTTGTATTTTAATACAATAAACAGTACAGATATCATTATAATAGGCAGACAATGCTGATATAGTGAAAAAATTAGATAAACATATTCATCGTTTTACATATCTTAAATGGTAAAATTATAATAATTGTTCAATGTTAATGAAGTAGTATTAATTTTTTTTCTTTTGAGAAAATACTGCTTTTTATTTATCTATTTACTAAGAGCATTTTGCCTGAGAATCATTTTTAGATCACAAAAATTACCTTACAGAAACTTTATAAAATTGATATATTCTATATAAAATTATGTAGCTAAAGATAAATAGATAGATAATTTTGTAATGCAGGTGCTTCCCTACTTACAAAACATTAAGTTTTCAAGGTTTTGTCATAAGTCTAAAACTAATACTATCAATACATGGTTATTCTGTGTATGAATGTTCTTTCTAAATTAATGCTACTGGTTAGTAACAGTTGTTTTAAACGTGGGTTTTTTTCCATCTAATGCACTTAGTTTTATAATGTCAAATTTAGTTTCCATGCTAATGGAGCCACACTTGCATTTATCTCCACTGCTAGATTTACTATTATGTTTTGGATGCATCTTTGAAGGACTAATCATAAAAGTTTATAAAAATTTCAAACAATAGTGAAAATTACTGCTAATCCAATGTTTTCAACACCACTTCACAAGTGGCAATGGAATGTCAGAATTCACACGAAAACAAAAAATGACAACATGCAATAGAAGTAAATCCACATTAATTATTTATTAAAAATTTATTATTTATTGGCAAGAGAACTTCAGAATTCGTGCAAAATTTAAATTTTAGACATACAGTCAAATTGTTTATAAGTTGAACATTCATAAGTAGATTATTCATAAGTAGGCCTGCTTTGTTAAAAGATTTTTAATAAATAAACTCAAGTATAATTGAGAGCATAATTTTAAAGATAAATAGACTTTGTGACTTGTAAAATTATGACACATCAAAATATTTTTCTATTTACAATTATTTTCAGAATGCTGGTGCTGATGCATTAGAATTAAATTTGTCTTGTCCTCATGGAATGGGAGAAAGAGGAATGGGTCTTGCATGTGGTCAGGTATAGTATAAATGGTTTGTCAGGATTGAAACTGTGGAAAAATTTGTGAAATATTTTTAACATATTATAGGTTAAATTGGAAATTGGTGCAAAATCATCAATTAAAAATTATTTATTTATAAAGATTTAGACTGTTTCATTTAGTTTTGTAGTATAATATTAATTAAATCTACTGTTAGTTTTAGTTCTTCATTTGGAATTTCACAATAATTTCTGTGCAATATTTCAGAAGAAAGTGCTTTTAATTCATAAGAAGACTGTTATTCAAGTTTTAGGAAAATATCTTTATTGTAGAAATGCATTCTGTAATGAACTCAGTATTTGAAACAAAGCTTCCAATGAAAAATCAGTTTATTTAATAAATAGNACTGCAGTGAGCTGTCAAAGAGAACCTCCCTTGATAGAAGTAGCACCTTCCCTCATTCACCACCACTACAGCACATCCAGTCCCTGACTGATTCTTAGAACCATCAGTGTAGATATTAAAGCCACAAGAGGCCCTATCAGCCTCCAGATAGAAGTTTACATTAGGAAGGTCTGCTGGATGAACAAGGTTATGCAGAGAGACCCAATCAATCCCCATCTCAATGACCTTCTCCCAAAGGTCAAAAATGGGAGTGTGTAACTCACTAGGCTGGAAGGTCTTGTAGGTAGTATTGCCCTGCTGACTCCTGAGCAAATGAAATTGCCAGTATCTCCTTTTAATGGCCAGGTCAACTGGTGTGAGCCCTGTGATAATCAGAAGGGCTTCAGTGGAAAAGGTCCTGTACATCTTTGCACTGTCAGCAGCTTCCTCCTCACATGCACCCTCATGGTCTCCTTGCCTCAGACCTCACAGCCATAGGCGATGATTGTGTGATGGCACCTTCATATAAAATCCTTGTAGCCTTAGGGCTTAGGCCTCAGGTGTTCTGGGAGATGGAACGAAGGGTGTGCATAGCAAGAAGGGCCTTGTTGTGGGCAAACTGAATGTGTGGAATCCAATTAAGCTTTACATCCAGGATCACCCCTAAATATTTCATAGAACTGACATAATTTACCATTTACAAATAAGTGAATATTAAAATAAAAATTTATTTAAAATTACAATATAATTTAATAATATTTCATTATATGATTATAATGTACTGTACATTGCACAATGCTTCAATTTTCTTAAGTGTTCAAATGTAGAATCTTTTAATGTTTTCCTTTTTTGTTATTGTTTGTTTTGCAAGCATTACTTTACTTTCATTTACTATATTTAAAAGTTAATAAAACTAATGTATTAAATATGTGTTAGAACTTTGAAATTATTGGCATTTAATTTTTCTATATCAAAACAGTGTCAATTAAATATTATAGGACTAGAGCCAATTTTTGGTAATTCATAGTCTTTTAAAATTATAAATTAACTAATCAAATCATACTAAATCAATTCATGAGGGTTGTATTAGAATAATATTAAGTATGCACATCAAAAAATTCACATTTTCAAAGAATACATTAAAGTTTTCTAATGTAATGTAGGTAAATGATCCCATTCCCTTTTCCACTCTGTGATGCAATGATGCCATAAAATAGGATCTTGTACCTGAGCAAATGTCATTGCTGTAACAGGCATTTACAAA